CAGACGGGGAACCCTAAGCCTAACACAGCAGTACATGTGCATAATCCGGTTACTGTGCTTCACAAGTACGAACCCCAAAACGCACACGGGTGAGCACGATTGAGCCATAATCCGCACGGGTTTAAATCTTGGGAGCACGATACCCAAAGACTAAAGCGTGGGTTCCCCAAAATGTTCGCGGCAAGCCGGCTGGACAGATTCTTCGATTTCGAATTTTGGACACTTTCCGATTAATTCTGCGCTTTTCAGTGTAGAGAATGCCTTTTCATGGTTTGGAACGGGTAATTTGGATACAATCGCGAAGAAAAATCATATCTTTTCCTTCATCTTTGAAGTCTCCTGAACACACTCTGGTTCCAAGCCAGCCTTTGGAACCAATGCTTTTTGGAACCAATTCTGGGGACCACGTAGATTCGGAACCAAGCTCTGGTTACCTTCCTCACGGGGTCTTAGGAGGCCCTGGGCTACATTAGGGGTTTAGTTCAGCAGGGCCAGGCTCAATTGGTCTAAGGTTTTGGGGAGGTTCAAAAACCCCAAAGGACCCTAAGTACCTATACGGGGTTTAGGGTTTAGGATACCTACCCAAGCAGAATCAGAATAGCATGTCGCTGCAGACATCCTACTCTGGTACGTAGGAGACATTGGGCCGGGATCCCCAACTGCCTTCCTTCACAGGCGCCGGCTCTCCTGCACCGCCGGCACCGAAGGCGACAGCAGGCTTGGCAAACACTGTTTGTTGCTGTTTTTGTTGTTGGAGTTTTTGTGTTTCGTGTGTGTGTGTGTGTGGTTTTGGTGTTGTGTTGTTTAGGATGAAGGTTCAATGTTGAAGTTCCGGGTTGCTGGCCCACGCTATAAAGCAAATTGGGCTGAGGTACTGCAGGCTGCGGAGGTCCACTGTAAAGAGGCCCGTAAGGACAAAATGACCCTTCACAGTATAGGGGCCCTTTTTCCTGTGAGCCCTTCCAGTTCTCAGTATGCCTCCCAAATCGAATGAACCAGATTTGGATAATGGATATCTATCTATCTATCTATCTATCTATCTATCTATCTATCTATATATACAGATTGGTTACCGCCCCCAGTAAAGTACTTGCAATAAAGCTATATCCGGCCCTTAGTAGTGCCCAATTATGGACCGTTACTGTATGAGGGGGCGGTACCCAACAGAGAAGCTGAAGCTGGCGGGGAAGGTCTACACCCCAACTGGGGACCAGATGATCCGCCTTAAAAGAATTGTCGATGATAGAAATCCTGCGTTGCCTTAAGGGCCCTAAACCATGGGAAGCATGGTAAATTCCTTATTATGGGTAATGCAGGATTTATACCATCTTATACTAGGACTCCCGACAGGCTTTATGGGCCTTTTGAGGGTTCTTTTCGTCACTAGGACAGCTCCAGCATCTGCATCCAGAGAGTTGGAGCATCATTATCCCAGGCCCTTGAGGCAAAGCGCAGAGACCGCCGGCAAGCAGCATTGTTTAGGGTTGAGATTTCAGGGTTCAGGGTTTAGGGTAGGGTCGTCTGCTTGTTTTCCACTCAGTCGGAGTCCCAAATCCTGAACCCGTTCGGGTGGTTGTCCCAATTTAGGGTCTCCTCTGGGTTTTCAGACTCTAGGTTAAGCTTGCCGTATGAATAATAGAATCATAGTTTGGGGTTTAGTGTGTAGGGTTTAGGTTTAGGGTTTTAGGTTTCCACAAAGGGGGCCATGATGTTGATAGTTACCCCAAAACCCTGAGCCCTACACATTCGCAACCGCCAGGGCCTGCCAAAGCAGCTGCAGCGAGTGGGGCGAAGGAGTGTTCCTGCATCTTGTTGCAGGTGAAGCTCCGGTTTAAGGGTTTAGGATTTTAGGGTTAAGTTAAGGGTTGTGGGATTCTCAGATTTAGGGTTTAGGGTTTAAGATTTTAGGTTTAAGGGTTCTAAGATCTAGGGTTTAGGATTCAGGTTTTGGTTTGGGGTTACGGTTTACTAAATATCCTCTTAGTGGCTGAGTGGGTACACTTTACACGCTGGGGGAAAATATGATCCCCTGTAAAACTGAAAGTTTACACTTTTTGAGGCTTAAGAACTCAGCAACTACCTGGACCCCGAATAACCTACCTTCTTAAGGACTTGTATAAGGAAATCATAATAGTGATCCCTAAAAAGGAAGGCTTTATAACCCTAATCCCCTAGACCCACGCCCACCCCAACCACTAAACCCTAAGCCGTTAAACCCTAAACCCCTAAGCCCTGAACCCCTAAACCCCTAAACACTAACCTCGAAACTCTAAACCCCTAAACCCTAAACCTGGTAAGTCCTGAATCCTGCCCCAATCCCGAAAACATCTGTGGACGACAGAGGGCCGTGTGACGGTGGCTCATGGTACTCTGAGCCCCTGCACCCCTTTCCCAAAGGGTTCTACGTACCTGTAGGTATATGTAATATGTATAATATTATATATACATATATATATATATATATATATATATATTTATTTATTTATTTATTTATATTTATCATATAT